GGCAGGGCTGTAGATGAGTCTGACCTACACTGCGCCAGCCAACGGTTTTACGATACACCCCATATTTGAGAAAGGGACTCGTTTCAAAAGGGGGTGTCAGGACATGCAAAATCGCTTATAACTCAGAAACTGTTCAACATAGAAGCTTCAGATTTCTTTTGTTGTTTAGCTCTGATGAAGCTCTATCCATCAGGCCCACCAATCAGTGCCCCCCACCCCACCACCCCAAACCCCCAATTTATCTGAAAAAGGGGTGTCTGGACTTACAAAAAGGGTTATAACTCAGAAACTGTTCAACATAGGAGCTTCAAATTTCTTTGTTGTTTAGCTCTGATGAAGCACTATCCATCAGGCCCACTAATCAGTGCACCCCACCCCCCGAACCCCCAATTTATCTGAAAAAGTGGCATCTAGACTTACAAAAATGGTTAAAGCTCAAAAACTATTAAGCTTAGAAGCTTCAGATTTCTTTGGTTGTTTAGCTCTGATGAGGGGCTTTCCATCAGGTCAACCAATGCCCTCCCCAAAAAAAAAGTTTTTCTGTAACTGGCTAATGACAACTGTAGCTAACAAATCTCTTTTCTGTTTCTGTGTTTCCTGTTTGGAAACAAATGGGTGCTTCTGTTGTTGGAATTCAATCTGCTGCATTTTTTTTTATTTAAGTGCTGCCCAACTGCATTGTAAATTCCTAACTCTTGTTTAATGGGTCAAAACCCTGTCCAAAAAGGGTGAGATTTATTTTTTAATCACCACAAAATATTTGGTTTGTGTCACGAAAACTTTTACTGTTTAGTCCCTGAGAGGCCAATTAAACTGTAAGATCTATGTTGCTGAGAGGAGATCTACGGGGCGTTCTGCTGGGGAACATCTGATGTCAAATTTAACTCTGGACACAGAAGTTAAAGAGCAAAGTGCGACGCACCAACGCTCACTCCCATCATATATGACTTTGTGCATTAGTGTTCGTAACATCATGTGAGACGCTGAAGAGGGGACAGTTCCCCGGCCATGAAAGAGAACGAGCTGGCGTTAACGAGAGGAGGAATTTTCTCCACAAACCCAAAGCAGATGTGAGCAGGCGAGAAGGTCTGTTGCCATGGATACCAGCGAGCACACAACTCTGTGCGGGCAGCTTGGACTTGTCCAGAGAGACACCTGCTCCTCGCCTCGTCACTATTTTCTTTTTCCATGACAGTCTATTAAATTTGCTTTTTTTTCAACTATTTGTTTCTATTTCATTACCAGATCTAAAATAAAAAACAGTAAAAAGAAGGATTTAATAAATGATGTGTCCAGTCTTTATTGAATTATTTCCTCAGCCATGACTTCTGTGTATTTCTGCTGATGATATTTTGTATTAGACCTATTCATACAAGACTCTTGTTTTAATATTTGTTTAATATGTGTGTTTCTTCTGTGACTTCCAGAGGAAATGCTTCTTTCTTATTAATGGAACAGGCAGCGTGGCAGTCTGTGTGGTTCTGTACCTGTCGAGGGCGGAGCTGAGTTCATCCAGCCTGCGGGTGTCAGTGGTGTTGCTCAGTTTTGACAGAGTGTCCATCCTCTTCATAATCATTTCCAGCATGTCACTGATTTTTCTCAACACCCCACGAGAGTCTTGGCCACCAAGCACTAGAAAAAAAATAAAAAAAATTAAAATAGTGTCACAAAAAATATATATAAAAGAAGAAGAAATCTGTGGACATTCTGAAGGGTCTAGTTTAGCCACAGCTTGAAATTCATCATCAAAATCCTCTTTTTTCCATAAAGTTCAATGTCCTGATGCATCTCAGTAATCCAGGTAGAAAATATCAAAAAGAAAAAATAAGTAGGTCCTCTAGATGGGTTCTTCTTTAGTGAAACGTTTCGTCTCTCCTCCAAGAGACTTCTTCAGTCTGATGAGTTTCAGGTGAAACTTAGCCTTATAAGCCCGTGTATCACAAACCCACCCATACAGACCAGTATTTGCATTTTGATTCTCATCACCCACTGGAACACAAGTTAGGAGTCATCAGAACTCTGTACCACAGAGCAGACAGTGTCCCCACAAACACAGGAGCCAGGGAGAAAGAGAAGTCACACACAAGACAGGCTCTGGAGCAGTGCGGTTATCCTAACTG